GGACACCACTTCATGGAAGAGCAGTTAGCACCTGGAAAGGTGTTAGAACTGGAGCAACCATATTAATTATACTAATTATATACTAACAATACAATGAATAATGTTAGATTGCAATAAGAGGGAAAAACTAAACCTGTATTTAATGAAAATTAATATACTGAATAAATACTTTCAAACTTTTCTCTTTTCAACTCTGAACTTCGGTCTTAAAGAAATTATTCTGGCATTAGGCAACAGGAATGGTAGAAAAGTAGATGACAAATCAGCTACACACAGAAATGAAAGACAAAATAGTACTGGCACTCAACATGCTTTGTTTAGAAATGTCAGAGTTCCAGTCATTATAAAGATTCTAATTTATGATTTCAATTTGTGGTATGCTCTGGGAAAAAAAATGGACACTTTCAGCTCCCAAGACACATCATTTAATGGTATTTGGCCATAAACCACCTGTGAAGGGCTTAGAAATTATTATGTACTGTACCTCAGCAGGGTGCCCCTATGTCGTTATTGATGTAAAATGAAGGCAGATTTAAGTGCAAACAAATGTTACCCAACTACAGAATACCCTTTATTGTCCTTTGCTATCTGTGCAAGCAGGCAATGGCAACAGCAAAACAGGGAGATTTGTTTAGGAAATCTCTGGACATGCAGAGATTTTCATGACAGAAGTACCTCCTGGCCAGAGCATCGTGGTACATACTCCAAACCACGAGGGGGCGCTGTCTTCAGGCTCCGGGTCTACAGACAGATGCACCCTGGGGCTATAAATCCACCCTCCTAGGAGCCACTGTGGTGCCATTTCCTTAATAAAAGGTAGTCCTGATCTACCCAAGGTAACAAGAGGATTCTCACAGTTTGTGGAAAGACTGAAAGTGCCAATTACAACTACATGCCTTAAACAAGTTTCTGAGGCCAAAATGTGTACCTGTCTTCTGTCCTTTAATTGTTCATTTCTTCCGGAATGGCTCTATGTAAATCAAAGTCTTTCAGCTCTCCAGGCACTATTTAGAGTGATTCTAAACTGAGGCCAAAACGTAATACACAACGAGAACCTGAAATAGTCAAGAGGAATTGTTTCCATGGATGAAGTACAGAACAAATGTTACTTTGTACAAGGTGATGACAGGCCTCGCCACAAAACCTGGATGCCTACTCTTATATAACTGAGTGCCCCCAATCTCAGTTACCAGAACCAACCTTCTTACTTATTATAATCAAAGGCAGCAAAAAGATACAACTAACTCTAGGGGAACAGAAATGGTGGAGCAAAGGCACACACTCTCAACAGGCAGCAAGGCTGGGGTTTGAAGGGCATGGGCCCAGGGCCCAGCTCCTCTGGGTCTGCATCCTTGCTCTAATGTTCACTAACCTTGGGCATTTACTTTGTGCCTCATTTTCTTCATCTGTGAAATGAGGATGATGACAGGACCCACCTCACGCGGTCGTGACGGGGTCAACGAGGAACTGGGCCTGGCACACAGGGAGCACTCAGTAAACTTTGGCTACAATTAGCCCAAAAGGGTACAACCCTTGTGTTTACGTGAATATTTCCAGTCCTGGCACATGTGATTGTTCAAGGAATGCCGACCAACTGACCAAATGAAAGCAAGACATTAGCGAAGAGAGAAAAACTAAATGTGAGAACTCTGGCTGGCTGACAAGTTTGGCAAGACCTTGTTTTAAATAAATAATTTCCAAAGAGTAATGTTAAGATCAAGCTTGAGATTCTGGTTTCTCATCGAATTTCACTAATTAAAATTTATTATTTCAATATACAAAGATGTGGTGGTAGAAAAGGAAGCACACAATAAATTTGTGAAACTCTTCCCTAACCATCTTCCCTTTCAGCACAGTGTTTAGTAAATGCTGTAGCAGATACGTTCATAAGCGCATCAGAGTTTTGCCAAAGATGAATCTACGCGTAGTCTCGTCATAATACTTTTTTATTACAATATCCAAAAAACTGGGTATGCAAGTTTAGGAGAATCTCAAGACCCCTTCTTCAATCTTAGGAATGTGCCATCTCAAGACGTATATTTAAACTATAAAGAAATTTAAATGTAAAGAAAAAGAAAATGCAATTTTCTTTATAAACATTCTGTGTCTCTCACTACCAATCACATATTCTCTGTAAACCCTAAAAAATTTCCCTGTAAAGCAAATTACATATATGTATATATACACGTATATATAGTGTGTATGTGTGTGTCTATGTCTATACACACACGTACACACACACATATATATATATAAAGTGTTGGTAGAGCCCCTTCCCCAAAGATCAGCTGTTTTCCATAATCATCTGTATTAGTGTCAACAAACGGCTATAGGTACATATGACTTTGAGAATTAAATACATAATTATAAAATTCAAGCAAGCAGAAGGGCAAGAGGAAAAAGCACTATGTGGATGGCACATTTGGGGGTAAACTACCAAAACATTCTATTCTTTGAGTCACCGGTTCTCTCTTTTGCGGACTGAGTTTCAAGGATGTTCTTTCTTTATTGCAAGCACAGCCCAAAATGCACTAGACAGGTTCCTGTAACGATAATCTTACCTGGTAGTTCAGTGCTATCATCAAACACGTTCACTCTCTGGAGGGTTTGGGAAGCAACGTGAGAGCAAAGGGCAGCTGAACAAGCGCTTCTGGGACCTAGAAACTCCTGATATGCTACGTAGTAAGCAAAAGGGCCCCAGAGCTCCCGGCCACCACCTTCTTGAGTGTCCTCTATCTCACTTAATTAAAAGCAGCTTTAGTGCATCCAACTGTGCCCAATGCCTTTCTCACGAGGGGTTCTGTTAGCGTGAACAATTTGAACAGACTAACACCATTTCCAACTGAAAAAGAATAAAGCAAACAAACGTGCCTCTCTTCAGTCTCCAAATTCTACGAACCTAGTGTGGGGGGCTGGACTTGGGCATGGATGTGAGCACTCGAGATGGCTGCTTAAGGTTTAAACCTAAGGCAAACGCAACACAAAGAGAACCGAGTAAAAAGATAAACTCGCAAAGGAACCCACTAAAGGACGCACCACCAGACAGAGCACAACCCTCTGCAGGAGAAGCCAGTGGCTTCAGCCTTCCTCTTCAGGCGGATGAGCTCTGCTCTGCAAACGTGAGTGTTGGACCTAAGGCCTGTAGCTGGAAGAGGACGGGGGGAGGGGAGTCCGCCTCGACCGTCACTGAAGGGCTTTGACGAGGTATAACTTGTCCCCGTGTTCGCTGGTGAAGATCGGTGCCTTTTTGTAGTGTTCCACCAACTCGTCCATGGTGTGAAATCGCCGCTGCCCGATACAGTAGACATTGTCCACGAGCTGCACCTTGAAATGCTTGTTCTTCCCTGATGCTTTAAGAGAGACGGAGAAGTCACTGGGCTGGGGAGGAAGCAGAGCACAAGTTATGACCTGGTCACAGACAGAAGACTCCAGAAACACTCAAGCCATCCATAAACTTAAAGAACAAACTGAGAATGGACGTTCTTGACTCTGGGAGCTGTACATCCTGGACTCGTAAATATTTTGGGTCCCACAGTCTGCCTTTTCCACTTATCCAAATCCAAACCACCCTACAGCTCAGCCAGCGAGGTCTCTGGGTGAACACCGAGAGCAGCGTTGAAGGTTGAGAATGGCCCAGAGGTATCCCAAGGTTCTGAAGTTCTGAATCAAAGAAAATATTAAATTTTGCCTAGTACAGTTTTGGTGCTAAATGAATTTGTTATTTGAAACTTGGGAACCCATCACAGAATGCGCAGCACCTGTGTTAACCTGAACACTGAAGAAACGAAGTTTCCCTTCCCATGCTATTTGTGATAAACTGGGAATTTATTAAAAGTGGTCTGCGTATAGAGAATTGAAAATTATTTCGCCAACTAGGTCCCTTAGAAATGAGTCATTGAAGAACCCTGCTGTCATAGATGATCACGTGAACAAGTCCTCTCCACATAATGTTCTAAACAGCGCAAAAAACAATATTCTAAGTAACCCTCTGATTGCACAATTCTCAAATCATTACTATTTTCACAGAATTAAACACAACGAATGCCCGCTAGCCTCAGCGTTAAAATCCAAATTAACTGCTGAGCGTGGCTTTGAATATAAAACAAACTAAAGCAGGTGCTGCCTGACACACGAGCAAGGCTGGAGTGCCAGCATCTTCGTCACCGTCACTATTATTAGTTCTCGCAGATTAGGACAAGCACCACGGCCGGTCGTATTGCATTAATGCAGCAACAGGATGTACGGCTACCAACAGCTTACTGCTCTTCTGATGGTTTCAGGTTTTCCCTAAAGTAATTTTTATTTTTAGTTTCAACTTTCTCACTATGAATACTCTATATATTCTATAAGCACACACACACACACACACACACACACACACACATTCTTCTTCTTTCCTGTGCCATAAGTTGTACCTTTAGGAAAAGATTGAGGGGGTCTCATTTTAAAGCTTACCGTGAGCCAAGCACTGTGCAAGTTTTATAGACACTTTAACTCATTCATAGAAAGCGTGGCATCGTTTTTAGCAAAGGTAGTGTGTGAACGCATCCTACTAAGGGTGTGACAGACTCCACCGTAATTAAGCCAAATGATCAGCAGATGACTTTTCAAACAGGGACATTTGCTTCTGATTTAAGCTCTGATTCAGCATCATGGTATGTACATGTGTTTATGTGTGTGTTACAGCCATAAAACTGAGGCAGCAGGAAGATCCTTTTTAATTTCGGGGGCTCCTGAGCGGAAATCAGGTAAGAAAAGAACACCAACTTCATTCACACAAAGCAGGAGTGTTCGAAATTTGCGGTGTTCTTAATTGCAACTGAGCAGATTTTCCTCAGAAAATCAGAGAACCAGCAGTCTACATACTAACCCACACTGCTACGTGGTACCACTGAGCAGCTCTAAA